GTTCCTGATGCTCCCTATGCTCAATTAATTTTCTTTGAGAGAACTTGTTGAGACTTTGAGGTAAAAGATGATGAGAGGATGATAATTTTGAGATTATAAATATGTGATGTGTTAGCTGAGCTTTATTCTCAGATGCCTCTGGAGCAGGCTAGAGATTTTGAGGCATATAGGAAAATGGTGTATCCCAGATTTGGAATTAATTCAGAGAACCTCAGAAGAAAATTTCACACAATTTCAAAGAAACTTGAGGAGTCTTTTGCCCAGCATGGAGAGAGATCTGCAGGCTGAAGACTATGATACACAACATATCACCAAAAGAAAACAACTATTTTATACCAAAGTAGAGAGAAGAGCTGATTTGAATCCATTAGTCCAACACAGGGAGACTTGCAGTTGTGTCAGGATGAGCCCCCAAGCCACTTCAGGGTTGTTATGCAACCAGCATCTCATTCCTGAGGCTTTAAGGAGACTTGAAGAATGAACTCCAAAACCACTCAGGGTCAAAGACTGAGAACTGTCAAGTGCAACCCTAGGACTTTAGCAATGACACCTTATGCAGAAATGTGACATTTTCTGCCCAGTTGCTGAACAATTTATTCTATTGTCCCGCTTATCTGAGCATTGTACTTCCTTCCTCAAAGCTAACCTACTTATTTGTCTTTCTGTGATTATGACATGTCTCATCCTTTATTAATGACATTGGCAGCATTTCATGTGACTGAAGAGGGGGAAAATTCTAGGTATTTCTTCATACATTAGCTCTTTCAGATATAATGGGCTCTAATCCTAAATAAAGGGCGTACTTGAAGGAAGTGTCTGTCAATATTTTCAAAAATAAAAAGGAAGAAACAGAAGGTAGGCATTCTTTCTGATTGCAAAAGCTACAGTATATTTATGCTCCATGCTTTCTCAATAAATATGAATAAATATAGAAGCCATGGAAGATCTAGTGATAATCGTATTACTCTGCATATTTCTTCATTACATCCCTGTCAGAAGTTGGGGAAAGAGCCTCCTTGCTGCCAGCATGGGACAGTTCTTGAAAGTAACATCATATGCTATGTATGTGACAAAGAAATTGATTCTATTTTCCCCCTTGGAAACTGTCCATTAACACAATTGGAGGTGATTGACAACAGAGAGTGACTTTTCCTTGAAAGCCCTACTGATTTTGCAGCAGTTGCTCAGCTCAATCTACTTTCCCTTCCTTTCTATCAGTGCTCCTAGTTGACTTTAAACTGGTGAAGCCCAGTTCTGCAATCCTATAAGTCTTGTTTTGGAAGGAAAAGGAGTGGGGAAAGTAGCATGTGCCTGTAGTGTGTAACATGTGAATGTTTGAACATGGGGGTGTGTGAAACACATACAGGTTCATAGTAGTTTCCTGTGTGGATTGGGAATCTTTCCACTTACTTGAAAGTAAAAAAGATGTTGGAGCTCATATTGATTTCATTTAATCCTAAACAAAGGCAGTAAGCCAGTGATCAGGGAACAGAAGTAATTTTTTATCCCATGGGGTAAAAATGAAAATGCTGGAGGTAATGAGCAGAGCGCTACCCCCCACTCCCACCTGCTATAGCCGAACCTCAAAATGGAAGCCACCTCTCCCTCCTTCCTTGGTTGCAGCACTTGTAAATCCTCTGTTCTTTTAGAGATCAGAGGCTTGGTTGGTTACAGCTGTAGAACAGCCCTGGGTGTCAATCCAGCTTGTGAATGACTGCTTCTACTGGAGGCGACTGCAAGCAGGGTGAGGGAAAGCTGCAATTAAGGAGGGAAGGAAGGTGTGAGGGAAGGAAGGTGGCTTCATCAGCTTGTTTAAATGTATGTAGAAAATTGAGTGTTTGTGTGTGTGTGTTTGTATGAGAGAGAGAGAGAGAGAGAGAGAGACTGACTCAAAACTGAAAAAAGGAACAGGCGAGAAGGACGAAAGGCTTGAATTAAGGGGGAAAATGGTGGCTTCATCAATCTTGTTTAAATGTAATGAGAGGAAATGGACATACTGAACTGAAGCAACTAATTGTTGAAAATTGAGGGAGGAAAGGTTAGTGTGTGTGTGTACGTGAGAGACAGACAGACAGACAGACAGACAGACAGAGAGAGAGAGAGAGAGAGAGAGACTTGACTCTTTCATAAAACCATGAGAAAAGGAACCTTCTAAAATGTAATCTCCACTGCATTTAGCTCTGCAGTTTCTGCTCAGAACAGCAGAAGTCTGAAGTGTGTAGCAATCATGTTTCTGTATTTCTCATCCTCAAAGCATTCCCAAAATCTGAATGCCAGTCTTTCTGCTCCTGGTCCTACTTTGAATGCAGCACCAAACAAATGACTGTGGGGTTCTTTATTAAGTCAATCCATCTCATGTGCAGTCTTTCTCTCTTCCTACTGCACTGCACTTTTTCCTGCATTGCTGCCTTTTCCAGTCAGCTTGTCTTCTAATGATGCCACTGTTTGGTTATTTTCGCTTCTAGTGAAAACTCACACTTAATTTGCTTTACTTATCTTTCTGACAAGTCATAATAGATTTGTCATCGCTTCCCTCCCAAGAAGCAGGGTTATTTTAATTTCATGGCTGCTGTCACCATCTGCAGTGATCATGGAGCCCAAGAAAGTAAAATACATCACTGCCTCCATAACTTCCCCTTCTTTTTTGCCAGGATGTGATGGGACTAGTGGCCATGATTTTAGTTTTTTTGATGTTCAGCTTCAGACCATTTTTTACACTCTCCTCTTTCACCCTCATTAAGAGTTTCATTAATTCCTCCTCACTTTCTGCCATCAGAGTGGTATCATCTGCATATCTGAGGTTGTTGATATTTCTTCTGGCAACCTTAATTCCTGTTTGGGATTCATCCAGTCCAGCCTCTCACATGATGTATTCTGCATATAAGTTAAATAAGCAGGGAGACACAGTAATTGAAAGGCTGTTTGTCGTACTCCTTTCCCAATGTTGAACCTATCAGTTGTTCCATATCCAGTTCTAACTATTGCTTCCTGTCCCACATATAGATTTCTCAGGAGTTAGATAAAGTGGTCAGGCACTCCCATTTCTTTAAAGACTTGCCATTGTTTGCTGTGGTCCACACAGTCAAAGGCTTTTGCATAATCAATGAAGCACAAATAGATGTTTCTCTGGAACTCTCTAGCTTTCTCCATAATCCAGTGCATGTTAGCAATTTTATCTCTAGTTCCTCTGCCCCTTCGAAATCCAGCTTGTACTTCTGGGAGTTCTCGGTCCACATACTGCTGAAGCCTACCTTGGGGGATTTTGAGCATAACCTTGCTAGTGTGTGAAATGAGTGCAATTGTACAGTAGTTGGAGCATTCTTTGGCACTGCCCTTCTTTGGGAATGGGATGTAGACTAATCTTTTCCAATCCTCTGCCCACTGCTGAGTTTTCCATTGATGTTGCTAAAAAAAAAGCACACTGGTCCTTTGATATTGGGCTGTGGTACCAGGGTGGGTGACATGACCTTTAGTCTGGTTTGTTCCTTTTTGCACACCACACACAGAACGATTAAAGTGGTAGGAAAAGCCCCTCCCTCAACTCTGCGTTGGCAGTCTTTAGCAAGCACGTCATTGCTAGCACCATTCTGGCAGCCACTGATGATGATTAAATCCTCTGCTAGCTAGCAAAAAATTAATGCAACTTCCTAGGCATGTTGGACACCTTACTACTCCCTATACCACCCCATGGCTGGAGTGCAATGTGTTCAAGCAAAAATAATGCACATCTTTATTAAATTTGGTGCACCCTGCTAGTTCGGTACATAGCCTGGCAGCCATTGATACTGATGATATATCCTACTAGTTTGGTACACAGACTGTGTAGATTCAATAATTTTTTAAATTCAAATAATGTATGATTTCCTTCCTTTCAAATCATGGGGGGTAATGTCGGCATATATAAATTTGGGGTGTGTGTGTGCAAAAGGTAAAAAAGTTCCCTGACCCCTGATCCAAATGGACCTTGTCATCCCTCAAGACTATGGAGCCCCAGAGTTGGGTCCCAAGGGTCAGCACTAGTTGCATTTCTACATGCCAAAATTTCTAAGGATAGCCTGAGTAAAAAAATGAGGCACAGACTGGTTCTGAATGTAATTTTCAAAACTGTGGATTTTGAAAGAAGGAAAGTCTGCGGAAAGACATGTTCATTGTGAATCTGCCTGGCAGTTAGTATATGAGACAGTTTTAGAAACAGAAGTAAACAGCTTTGGGTTATACCCAATTTTTGTTGACCTGAAGGGGGTTCATGCAGAACCCAAAGTGGATAGCTGATTAAGAAACATGCACATGATCTAGAGATTTACTTTAACAGAGTCTAAGGTAGGGTTGAGGAATGAAATTTTTTGCCCTCACCCTTAATTCTCATTGGCCTCACTCATACAACTGTGGGAGATCTGGAAAGCCAATGGTTCATGTAAGTGGAATTTTCTTCCTTTCAACAATAAGCTCCCATAGCCTATGACAAAATATTTGTGAGTCTTCCTTAAATTTCAGAAACCCTTGCTATACAGAGGTATGTGTGAATTCATGAAACCAAAAGTCTAGGGATAACCAAAATTATTTTACTGTTTTTGTGGATTCCTGCTTTCTAGCTTTGCTGGAAAGCGAAATGGTAAGAAACATTTCTTATAGAACTGTCCCCATAATTTGTTGCCACTTGCCAAGCATAGTACCATGTTGTGTTCTGTCATAGCTTTCCCTCAAATGCTTCTGTAAAGACAGAGGAGTGGAGGAAGGTGTTGGCGGTTCATTTGCTGTTACTTCTAACAATTATTTTGTCCCACTTCCTTCTGGAAAATATATCTCAGTGAAAAATGGAAAATGAAAAGCTTATGCTTCACGTGGCATTGGTAGGCAGAGCTATTGCTGGCACACTGTACCAAGCATTGTTTGCCATCAGGAAGATATTTTCAGAGAACTTCCGTGTCTCATGAAAAAGGGCAGATCAAATTTCAGACCTTGCTACTCTATATATGTTCAGGCATCTCCAGCCTGAAGGTCACTTCCTCACCTGGGATCCTATCTTAAGATGGACCATGCTGTGATCTTCCTGTGGGTACTCCTTTCAGCTGCAGGTAGTATGTTGGTAGTGGACTGAGATATATTTGTTCTCTTTTCCTTCTCAAATATAAAACCACATATACATTTTAGTTTAAGTGGAAACCTCAATGGCCCAGGCATGCGAAATTTGTGCCCTTCCAGATGCTTATAGTCCACAGTTACCAAAAGCCCTGGTCAACAAAATCAGTGAATGAGGACTGACAGGACTATTGCCTCAAGGCATCTGGTGAATCCCAAGGTGTCCATCCCTGACATAGGTGAAGCATGAAGATTTTCATATTAGGAGTGTTTAAGCATTTTACTGTAATATTAGCTAGATGTAAAATTAAGAGTTGAATCAACATTGCTGAAAACTGGCCAGTTGTTCTATAAATCTGGTCTTTAGATAATGGATTGCTGGTGTGTCTTGACAAGTGGAAGTCTTAGGCACCCTTATATAGACTTAGGTTCTACTGAATACTGCAGAACTTGTATCTGGGTAAACATGGAATGGATCAAACTTGAATTCTTTTGAAAGCTAGTCATGAGTAATTTGTTTTGCTTGGACTAAGTAACGATTGACTTTAGCTGATAGAGATGTAAGTCCTTGCTAGAATATTAATTACTACATTTAGTTTGTAACCCTCAGGGGAAGGAGAACAATTAGATAGTCCATTAGATGTTATTGGCATTACAATGTGGAAAGTTAGAGTCAAATGAATATTTAACACATCTTTAAAGTGGCAAAACAGGTAGATATTGGGGAAAGTTTGTAAGAGAACTTGTCTAATCCCCTTCACTAGAAGACTGAATGTGGTTTTTGACATAAGAGGTCATTAAGAGGTTGAGTAAACATTTTCAGATGAAATTATTTGTCTAGGTCTGTTGAATTGTGACATAAAGCTCTGTGACTTAAAGCTTGGACTATGATGGTTGGATTGTGGAAATGAGTCCCCACCCAGCAAATTCAACAAAACAAATTTAAAAATAAGGTCTAAGTAGCTACCCCAGTCCAACAGCTCTAGAAGATAAATGAGTCATTTCCCTCCTCCTTTTTTCAATGAATAATAACTGCTTGTAATATAATTGGTTTGAACTGAGCTGCCATTATGGTTTCAGAACTTTTTCTGGACATCAGTCTTTAAAAATACTGTAAGCAACAGATTCTGTCCTTGAGGATACAGACTCCTAACCAATATTACAGCAGCAGCAACAAGAACAACAACAGGAAGAACAACGATTTATATTGTGCTCTATACCAGAGCGTATCCCAGTACTCAAAAACATTTAAAATATAACCGTAACACAATTACAATGATAAAAATATACAGTAAACAATTATCACAAGGAAGTTTGTGGTTGATCACACATCATTTTCAGGTCATCTTTAGAAGCAGATGACAGAATTGTCCTGCAGTAATGGAGTTTTACTCTCTCATGATCAGTCAGAACACCGAGCATGCTAATTTGGAAGATGAAGAGATGAAAAAAGCTTGTGCTGGGAGAGAAAATCAACTTTTACCATGTCAGGCAACTCCACTTATAAATACAAGCAGATCATCTCACGTTGTTTGATTCTGAGACTTACAGTAAGTCTTTGTGAATGTTAAATGGTATCAGTTGTAAAACTATGACAGTTCTGTTGTAGTTTGTGCATCAGGTCAAAAGAAAAAAACATGTAATGCACTGCAAAGCAAAACAAAGAAAAGCAAAGCAAAGAAACGAAAGGAAAAAACAAGAGATAAAAACAGTTTGGTACCTTGATGACTAACTGTTATATTTTAATGCGCGCTTTCAAAGATCAAATCCACTTGTATCTTTTGAAGTTTTTAACTTCTTTAATTATCGTGGCTCCATCTTTTGGAATGGGGGGTGTCTTAGAGTCAGATGATGGCTCCATGTAAAAGGTTATTGCATAGTAAGGGAATACACATGCTGAGAATGTACACTGGAATATTTTGACTGCCTTCAAGAAATCATGTTTGGCCCCACAGCCATCCAAAGGGGCTAGGCAAAGAAAGGCATACTGGGAGGATGGTAGCTTTATTGTTATTGGATTTACAGCAGCTAGTAAGGTAAAGGAAATAAAATAAAATGATGACTGTGACTGAATATCATATGTCATGTTAATGTTATGAAATACTGTTCTTAGGACTGTTCAGAGTTTTTAATGGATTTTTTAAAAAATAAAAATATAAAATTATTTTAAAATGTTTTACAATGTCTTCTCTGATTTTTATTCCTTGCAGCTTATACAAGAGGACAAAATGGTAATTATAATTTTTTATTATTGTATTTAGATCAACTCTTTTTTTAAAAAAGACAGAAAATTGCATGCATTTGGCAAATGAGATGCCTAGCTACTCCTAGTTCTCTCTGTGAAATGTGAATTATCAATTTTAAAATACCCCAGTGCTCTCAATCGATTATACCTATGATTATTTTTCAAGGTTTATATGCCTAGGTGTTTTTTTTTGTTATCTTTGTATATTTGATTCTAGTAACACACACTGAGTCTTTTTAGAAAAAGGAGACTAAGAAATAGCTTTAATGGATGTTTCATCATTCTTTGAAAAGGGGCTATAAAGTAACAAAAGTAAAACTTCTTGTTTTATTGTAAAATGAATGTTGTTATTATCATAGGCATTCCTGAGTGGAAATATCACCATACAAAGATTTAATAAGAGCGAAGGACAGGTGAAAGTGTACTACAATGGAAGGTGAGGGACGGTCTGTGATGATTTATGGCAGATGTACAATGCATGAGTAGTGTGCAGACAGGTTGAATGTGGAGTTGCTCTCTCGGCACCTGGTAGTGCTCGATATGGCTTGGGCTCGGGTACAATTCTTCTGGATAATGTTGTCTGCTGTCGGAATGAACAACATCTAGACCAATGTACCCACAAAGGCTGGGGAGTCAATGATTGTTCCCACACTGAAGACACTGGTGTTCTCTGTTCATGTACAGCATTGTTTTGGAGCCTGGGCTCATGGTGGTCATAATGTTGTGATGTTTTGGTTGCTTAATGTTGAGATTTTTTAGATTGTGAGGTCCAGCAGGGCCCTCAGATCTACCTGTTTCCTCAGAATTGAGCCACAATCTTCACAGTTAATACAGCTGGAGTGGGGAGAAGAGAGATTTCCCCAGCAACAACGTATTGTTATAAACTATCCTGTCGTAATGTAAAAAATTGTAAAATGAGTCAGTCAGCTCATTTGAATCAATTCTTTATTATACTATGGAAAGTGGCTATGCACATACTGATTCCTGCAGTTTTGAACTCACCTGCAGGAATGGGATAGCTATGGGTAAACTCATGATTCGAACTGTAGCACTCAGTGATTGTTAAGGGCCATTAAGTTGCCTCCAACTGATGGCAATTCTATGAATCAGATATTTCCAAAATCTCCTGTCCTCAACAGCCCTGCTCAGTTCTTGTACACTCAGATCTATGGCTTCCTTGAAGGAGTCAATCTATCTCATCTTTGCTCTTCCTCTTTTCTTACTGCCCTCCATCTTTCCCAGCAGTATTGTCTTTTTCAGAGAACCCAGCCTTCTCATGATGTGCCCAAAGCAGGCCGGCCTGAATTTCATCATTTTTGCCTTCAGAGATAGTTCAGGCTTGATTTGTTATAGGACCCACTTGTTCATCTTTCTGGCAATCCAAGGTGTTCACAAAGCTTTCCTTCAGCACCACATTTGAAGCAAATCAATTTTATTTCTGCCAGCTTTCTTTACCTTCCAACTTTCACACCCATGCATGGAAATCAGGAATAGAAGAATGTGGATGATCTTGGTCTTCATCTCCAGTGACACATCCTTACACTTAATAATCTTTTCGAATTCCCTCAGTGCTGCCCTTCGAGACTCAGTCTTCTTCTGATTTCTTGCTGCAATCTCCATTTGGACAATATTGATTCAAGGTATACAAAATAATTATTTCAATTTTTTCACTGCCAACATTAAAGTTGATTAGTTCTTTTGTAGTCATGAATTTTGTCTTCTTAATGTTGAGCTGCAGTTCTGGTTTGGCACCTTCTTTCATTTTCACTAAAAATTCCTTCAAGTCATTGCTTCTTTCTGCCAGGAAGATGGTGTCATCTGTATATCTTAAATTATTGATGTTTTTTCTGCTAGTTATCGATCCTCCTTCATCTGACTCTACCCTGGCTTTCCTTGTGATATGTTCTGTGGACAGATTGAACAAATAAGGGGATAAAAGGCAGCCTTGTCTGACACCTTCGTCTAAAGGAAACCATTCTGCCTCTCCATATTCTTTACTAATGATAGTTTCTTGTCAATAATATGGACTACACATCAAGACATTCAAGTGCTGAGCTATACTCATTTCTATCAGAAAACCCATAGTTTCTTGTGCTCCACACAATCTAAGACTTTTCTGTACTCTGTAAAGTATACATTGATTTTCCTCTGAAATTCTTTGGTGTGCTGTAGTAGCCATTTGCAATATGATCTTGAGTGCCTCTTCCTTTTGGAATCCAGTTGAACCTCAATCATTTCTCTCTCCACATAAAGCAATAGGCTTTGCTGCAACACCTTAAGCATCACTTTGCTTCCAAGGGAAATTAAAGCAATGGTCCTATAGTTGCTGCCCTCCTTGGCATCTCCTTTCTTGGGGTTTGGATTGTAAGTTAAATGCTGCCAGTCTGTGAATCATTGTCCCTCGAGGCATGGCTTTGGAGTGGTGGAAAAACATGGATCTGATGCACAAATCCTCAAGGATCCATGTGATTTTTAACTAGGATAAACTGCTGTCCAGTCATATGAACCATTTGTGCTTGTGGACTACAATATGGAAATCAAGACTCCAGACACGTTATGATTGGTCAGAATGCTATGGTATGCGAATATTCAGTCATTTAGAATATTCACATTTCTATTATATGTGCATGATACAATAGCCTCAGGTTACTCATTTTTGCTTGAGTTCAGGCTTGACTTGACTGACCACCCACTTTTCTGCTTTTCTAGCTGTATTCAGTATTTCTACCAAGACCACATTTCAAATTACTTGATTTTTGTCTCTGTCTTTCTTCACTATCTTCCTTTCGCATAGTTTGTATGCATGATTTTGACCTTGCATTCCAGTGACATTCTTTGCTAACTTCAACCTCTTCCTTTTGAAAAAAATTCAAAAAGAAAAGGGACATATTTTGGAAGACATGTACACAACATACCTCTAGAGATTTTGGTCCACTATAGCTTTTCTTCCTCACCTTCCCTAACTCAAAGAAGGGGATATGAAATTGAAACATAGCTTTCCAGTCTGCATTTAGTGCAACAAACATGATAAAATTAGTTCAATTGACAGGTTAAAGGGTGTGTATTAGAGATAGGCATGAACCTTGGTTACGAGGTTCATGCTGCTTCATTGGTGTGGCACCTCAGGTAGGGCATGTTTGCTTCCCCCACAGGCTCCCTCACTTACCTGCCTGCTCACTCTGCTTTTCTCCTGCTCTTCACACAATCATCCAGTCCCAACAGGAGTATGGACTTCCCTTCTTTGCCTCCTCCAGCATTCTCTCATTCACATGTACTGCTGCAGGAATCCCTGTCGTGCCTCCAATTCTGAGTGGGTGGCTGCTGGATGAGGTGTTAAGCTGTCATCTTATGCTTGTGTCATCTCTACAGGAAGTCCTGGATAAAATGATGATGGTGAATATGTTGATGACTAAGTTAAAGGCCAGAAAATGGAGATTAGAATGTATTGTTGTTCTTAAATGTGTGCCTTCAGTCATGATTTCTGCTAAACCTTCTTGAAAGACATTTATTTCTCAGAATGAGGGATCTCAGATGTTTCCCTGTAAAATGACAGTGGGGGAACCTCTGAGACGACAACCACAGGATCTGGTAAGTCTGCCTCCACTAATTGATTTTCAACATTTATTCTCTTACGATTCACTTTCCAAAGCGACATCCTGGTTATTCCCGTATTGAAGGCAATTTCACTTTTCTCCGGCAATTTTTTTTACTTTTACCTCAAGACTAACTCTGAAATATTTATAAATGGCAAGAAATATGATAATGTCACGAGCCAAGACAGCGTGCCCATAATAAAAGCGTTTTTTCTCTGATCCTGGGACTCACGTGTCTATTTAGATAAGGCTTTTTCTGGCATTACCTAATTTAAAAAAATTAAAATGCAGAGAAGCACACAGATCTCTTTTCACGTATAGATATGAAACATTGTACACCCATCCGTCCGGTCTGTCTTTATTTTTGATGTTCTATTCTTGTGTCAACCTAACATTTCCAAAACATAAGAAACCTGAAAAAGCCATCCCGGTTCCATCTTTTCAAACACAGGCTTCCTTTCTGTGTAGAACTTTCCCTTAACTAAGACGTCAGATTGAATCTAACTCTCTTCTCTTTGCTTTTGCTCATCTATTACTCAGAGTAAAAGGAACTCCGGTTTTTGGCTCCTTTGGCCACGCAGAGGAATTTCAGATGTTTCCCTGTAAAATGACAGTGTTACAGAGGATTTAAAGCCCGGGTTTGCTAGTAGCCAAAATTATATTTAAAATCAATCCATAGCAGATAATCCCCATTGGGTCCGACTGTAAAGTTTGGTTGGTTGGGTAGAACGTATAATAGTTCTAGACAGAATATAGATGGATAAGAATGACGTCTAAAAAAGGTGGATAGGAAAGACAGTTCTCTCTAAATAGAGCTGGAACTGTATCTAAATAGACCTTTTATTCTTATCCATTTCTTTTGGACATCTCTTAAATTTGCAAGAATCCTTCTGAAATCAAAGGCTTAGAATGGACTTAAATATATTGGTAATTAACACAAATATGCTAGACTCAATGTTATATTGGTCTACTTTTCTATGTCAGTAGTGCAATAGCCAATTATTGTATTTACGTTATGCTCTTTCTCCCGAAGAAGCATCTTCTGCTACAATAGAACTATCCTTTTTATATAGGTGATTTTAGGGAAATTATATACATTGTACAATTTCTGCCCTGCTGGCTTTTTTCCTTTCTTTCCCCATCGTTCAAGGAACAATTCTCCAACAGGTAAGAGAAGCATCTCATCTTCTCTATATCATAATGGTAAATCCAAGTCTTTTGAAAGAAAAATTGATCTCAACCAAGCCCATAAACACAAACGTTCATGGCATGGACATTGGATAGAGGCAACCAATGTTTTATAATAATTGTCGTCGTCATCTTAGAACTGCAGAGCTGTTTCTCCTTGTCTCTTTCAGAAGGAGACCTGCGGCTCGTCAATGGGAGACATAGATGTGAAGGACGGCTTGAGGTGTTTCACGATAGAAGATGGGGAACCGTCTGTGATGATGCCTGGGACCTCAACGACGCACGCGTTGTGTGCAGGCAGCTTGGATGTGGAAATGCTCTCTCGTCAGTGGGGAGTGCTCACTTTGGCCAGGGTACAGCGGATATTTTTCTGGATGACATATCCTGCGTTGGGAACGAACTCCGCTTAGAACAGTGCTCTCACAGAGGCTGGGGAAATCACAACTGTAACCACAGAGAGGATGCTGGTGTCATCTGCTCAGGTACTCTTGGATAACAGGATGTTGGTGAATATATTGATGACTACGTTAAAGGGCCTGAAAAATGGAGACCAGAATTTATTGTAGATCTTAGGTGTGTGCCTTAAGTTATCATTTTTGTTAAGCAAACTTGGAAGACATTTATTTCTCAGAATGAGAACAAAGGATTTCAATAAAATTAATGTTTTCTTACCAGGTCTTCTCCTGACCACTTTGGGCCCTGAAGTCACTACCGGTAAGTATTTCTTATGTATGCCTCACATTTCTTTTTCTGTCTTGTCACATCAGTTGTGGTCACATTGGAGTCCCCTTTCTTCAGGGTTTTGCTTTTTGCTACTTCTCTCGTTGCGAAGAATTTAGGCGCTTTTCCTATTTTCAGGAACTTCAAGGCCACTGTTCTGGAATGGATCAATTCCATTAAAATTGAGTGGAATTCAATAATTTCAGAATTGAATCTCACCAACATACTTTCCTAGTATTTACTTTTAAAAATGCTTTCCTACCTAATGCTGGTTTTAGGGCACATTTCAATTGATGCCAGTATGTCATTTTTCATTTTCTTTCTGTGTTGCTGTTCCAAAATTTCATCATTCTAGGAAATCTGACCCATCTTTTGTTTTCTTAACAGTTGGGAGAACCTCTGAGACGACAACCACAGGATCTGGTAAGTCTGCCTCCACTAATTGATTTTCAACATTTATTCTCTTACGATTCACTTTCCAAAGCGACATCCTGGTTATTCCCGTATTGAAGGCAATTTCACTTTTCTCCGGCAATTTTTTTTTACTTTTACCTCAAGACTAACTCCGAAATATTTATAGATGGCAAGAAATCTGATGATGTCACGAGCCAACACAGCGTGCCCGTAATAAAAGCATTTTTTTCTCACACTGCAGGAACCCTTTCAGAAGTGCTAAACTGGTTTTGCAGAAAATGTTTGCTCATCCCATACCTTTTTTGAAATGCTAATGGCTATTATTTTTATCACTGCTTCTGCTGTGTCAGCAAATATTGTCACAGTTTGCTTTGAAACCAGATGCTCCTTTAGCAGGAGCCTTTTCTGTAAGCTTGTGAGCACTTCTGGAACATTTCAGTGATAATAACAGGAGGCACATCTCCTGTTGACAGCGTGTACCTACCCACACAGCTTATCCATCATGCTGAAGGTTTCCCAGAAGAATTATCCTTTATATTATGTTTGGCCGCAGCATGAAGAACTTCATCGGGAGGGTTTTAAACTGAATTGGTAGGAAGAGGGAGACACAAGCAGAGTTATAGATCAAGCGTTACTCACTGTAAGAGGAAGAGACCAAACTGTTTAAATGGGAGGTCAACAATAACGTTAACATAAATAGTAATATTCATAAAATTGTAGAATGAAAAATAGGTCACACATCACTCAGTCTCCAGTGTCTATATACAAATCCTAGGAGAACAAGAAGAACTGCAAATTATTGTTTAGGAGTGCAGATATAATTTGATAGGAATAACTGAAACTTGGTGGGATGACTTCCATGACTGGAATACAACAATTGAAAGATATAAATTGTACAAAAAGAACAGGGAGAATAGAAAGAGCAGTGGAGTTGCATTGTATGTAAAAAAAAAAAAATGCATTTCTGACGAGAAATACAGGAGGAGGAGATTAGATGTCCTATTGAAAACATTCAGATCAATGCAGTTGGGGTGAAAAAAAGGAACTTGGTAGTTGGAGTTTACTACCGACTGCTCAATCAAGGAGAGGATGCAGCTGAAACTTTTGCAAATCAAATTGCAAGGATTTCAAAGAGACACAATGTAGTAGTGATGAGAGATTTCAACTATCCTGATATCTTTTGGAATGCAAATTCTGCCAAGTAGGGCTCTTCCAAGAAATTCTTGGCTTGTGTGGTTGATCATTTTCTCCTACAAAAAGTGGAGAAAGAAACTAGAGGACTATCTGTCCTTGACTTGTTTCTCACCCATAGAAATGACTTTGTGGAGGAAGTGGCAGTAAGGGGAACTCAAAGCGAGAGTGACCATGTCCTTCTAGAATTCTTGATTTCAAAGGAAACAAAAGCAGAGTGTAGCCACACACATATGCTGGATTTTAAAAAAGATAAATTTAATAATCTCAGAACAAGGATAAGTAAGGTCCCATGGCAGGAGATCCTAATAAGGAGTCCAAGAATGGTGGGAGTTTCTTTAAAAAAAAGAAATTCTAAAAGCACAGCTACAAACAATTCTAACAAGTAAAAAAGGAGGGAGGAAGCAAAAAGGCCAATGTGGCTTCACCAAAAGCTCAGGGAGGACATGAAAACAATAACAACAACAAAATACATGTATAGGAAGTGGAAAGAAGGCCAGATCACCAAGGAAGAGTACAGACAAGTAGCAAGGAAATGCAGGGATAGTATTAGGACAGCAAAAGCTGAGAATAAGCTGAGATGACCTAGAGTCACTACAAACAATAAAAAAAGCATTATTCAGGTATGTGCGAAGCACAAGACAAAGAAAAGAAATAGTGGCAGAGGTGCTCAATGTAAATGGAAAAATGATAACAGATGACAAAGAAAAGGCAGAGGTGCTCAATTCTTACTTTAGCTTAGTCTTTTCCCATAGGCCAGACTATGAACCTTCAGACGAATGTGAAGTAAAAGTGAAGGAGACAGGATTGCAGCTGGAGATTGATAAACGAATAGTCTCAGAACTACTGTCCATTATTTTCTTGAAATCATGGGAAACGGGTGAGGTGCCAGAGGATTGGAGGAGGGCTAATTGTTGTCCGTATCTTCAAAAAGGGCAAAAAAAGAGGAATTTGGGAACTACAGGCTGGTCAGCCTGACATCAATCTGAGTGAAAATTCTGGAACAAATTATAAAATGGTCTCTATGCAAGCACCTAGAAAACTATGCAGTATGAACTAAAAGCCAGACTAATCTGATCTTTTGATTGGGTAACCTCCCTTATAGACAAGGGGAATGCTGTAGACGTAGTATATCTTGACTTTAGTCAAGCTTTTAACAAAGTATTCCATGATGTCCTGATTAGCGAACTAACTAGGTGTGGGCTGGATAGATCACGTGTCAGGAAGATACACAATTTGCTACAGAATTGTACTCAGATGATAATGATTAATGGGTCCTTCTCCAACTGGGAGGAGGTAATAGGTAGAGTACCCCAAGGCTCAGTCCTGGGTCTGGTGCTCTTCAACATTTTTATTAATGATTTGGATGAGGGAATGCAAGGAATGCTTGTCAGATTTGCAGATGACACAAAATTGGGTGGAATAGTGCAGCAAATACAGTCATGGGATATAAATCATGTGACCATGATTCAGTAGAAGAGAGGTGTGGAAAGTATCTGGAGAACTGGAAAACCTTTCCCTCATGTGAGCAGGGCCTCAGTTCCAAACAATAGCCAGAATGCTATTGGCAATTTCTGCTTGTGTGAGAAAAATCCTGCAAGTTACAAAACATGCCTCAGAATGCAACAAGCATTTTGCTAGTGAGTAACAATTTGCCATCACAACTGAGACACTTGTCTTTGTAGAAACATAAATAGTCAGAAGGAGTCTGGCCAATGTGTCAATTCCTACCAACATGTAATAAATTGTTTCATGTTTTTGCCTCATCGGATCATAGGTGAGCAAACGGGTGTGCCTTGAATGTTGATTCATATTTCCTATTGGAATAGGGCCTGTGAGTTAGAACACATTGGTTGAAATCTGGTTGCTTAATGTAGTAAAAATGTGGAAGACAGGAGGGCCTGGCGTGCTCTGGTCCATGAGGTCATGAAGAGTCGGACACAACTAAATGACTAAACAACAACAACAACAAATGTAGTAAATAGTACTAGAGGAGGTCCATGGAATCAATAGGGATTTGGTGAGTCAAGTCCTTTGTAAATTCCATTGAGCCACATGGGCCTACTCTAACTATGACTTAATGATGCAATCTTAAGTGTAAAAATGTAAGAGTGGGCTAACCAGTTTTATGGGGCAAATGGACTAATGTTGTTATTTGACAAATAAAAGAGAAAGCATGAAAACATGACAAATCTAAGTGTCAAACTGTAAATTTGATGCAAATGTTTCTTCATTTTTGTTATGCTTACCTTTTTCACAGTTCCTCTTGCAAATTCGACATCAAGCTCTTTACAAAGTAAGTTCTGGTTTCTCCATTTAAGGTTTTAGTTGTAAATACATGTTTGAAAAAATTTGAGCAAGAGACCTGCAAGTGACAATGCAGAATGAGTCACAGATAAATGCATTTGTCAGATACAACTTTAAACATTCAGTCCTATTTCTGCACTGACATAATTTCACGACTTGCACTACATGAACTTGGTGTCACAATCTCGCTTTTGATTTTTTGGTTAGGATTGATCCGAAAACTGTTCAGCTTAACGATGAGTGAGTGAGTGAGTGAGTGAGTTACTTACTTACTTACTTACTTACTTACTTACTTACTTACTTACTTACTTACTTACTTACTTACTTACTTACTTACTTATTTAACCTATATGCCACCCACTCTACCAAAGGTCTCTGGGCGGTTAACAACAATTAAAATACAATAAATTACAATAAAAAGATAAAACAATTAAAATACAGTTAAAATAGATACTCTAAAAATTGCCATCAGGGCCCACAGTTGATATTATTTCAGCTAAAAGCCTTCTGGAACAGGAAGGTTTTGACCTGGTGCTGAAATGTCATCTGCATCGGTGCCAGACGAATCTCAGTCAGGAGGGCATCCCATAGTCTGGGAGCAGCTGCCGAAATGGCCCTTTGTCTACAAGCCATCCCTTTTATCTCCATGAGGGATGGCTCTTTCAAAAGGGCCCCCTGGCTAGATCTTAACTGCTGGGTAGGTTCATATGGAAGGAGGCGGTCCTTCAGGTATCCAGGGCCCAAGCCGTTTAGGGCTTTATATGTCAAAACAAGCACTTTGAATTCGGCAGCAACTGGTAACCAATGTAATTTAAACAGAATTGGCTTGTTATGTCCCCTAGTGGCCCCACCACTCACCAGCCGCGCAGCTCGATTCTGGACCAGTTGCAATCGCCAGACCATCTTCAAAGGCAGCCCCACATAGAGTGCATTGCAATAATCTATATGTGATGTTACCAGTGTGTGTATAACTGTCATGAGACTCCACTCATCCAGTAGGACTGTAGCTGGTACAATTTCCACAGCTGAAGGAAGGCACCGCTGGCCACCGAGTCCACCTAGGCTTCCAGAGTTAGACTGGGGTCCAGGAATACCCCCAGACTGAGGACCCTGTCCCTTAGGGGGAGTGTAACCCCATTCAGGGCAGGGGAATGGTCCTCCAGCCTGTCTGGCGAAGCACCCAGTAACAGCACTTCTGTCTTGTCTGGATTGGGTTTCAATTTATTAAGTCTCATCTAGTCCATTATCAGGTACAGATATGAGTTCAGCACAGAAACCGCCTCACCTGGATTGGTGGAAAATGAGAGGTAGAGCTGAGTGTCATTAGCATATTGCTGATTCCTCAGCTGAAACCTCCTGATGACCTCTCCCAGCGGTTTCATGTAGATGTTAAACAGCATGGGGGACAGTGCTGAGCCCTGAGGAAAGCTGTGGCATAAATGCCATGGGACAGAGCAACTGTCCCTCAGCACCACCCTCTGGACACAGTCAGCCAGGAAGGAGTGGAAGCACTGTAAAGCACTGCCCCCAACTCCCAACCCAGCCAGCCTATCCAGAAGGTCAATGGTGTTGAAAGCCACTGAGAGGTCCAAGAGTATCAACATGGTCACACTCCTCCTGTCTCTCTCCCGGCAAAGGTCATTGTACAGGGTGACCAAGGCAGTCTCTGTACCAAAACTCGGCCTGAAACTTGATTGAAATGGATCCAGAAAATCGGTTTCATCCAGCAGTGCCTGGAGTTGCCTGGCCACAACCCGCTCCAACACTTTGCCCAAATAAGGGAGGTTCGCCATTGGTCGGTAGTTAACCACCAGCCTTGGGCCCAGGTTAGGCTTATTGAGGAGTGTACGAATTACCACCTCTTTCAAGGTGATAGGGATCACTCCCTCTCTCAAAGAGGCGTTCACAGCCTCCTGGACCCAGGTGCGAAACTGCCTGGCACATCTTCCAGTTAGCCAAGATGGGCAAGGGTCGAGCGGGGTGGTGGTACAACGCACAGATCCACCCTGTCCAGATCCTCAGGTTTCAACAATTGAAACTCGTCCATTAATATTTGACCTAAGCATGGCACACTGGACATATCCTCTGATTTTGCAGTAATGGTGGAGTTCAACCCACTGCAAATCTGAGCGATTTGCCCCTCAAAATGAATGGTAGACTCATCACAACGAGCTGATGAGCAGTCCGGGACCTCCACCAGATATGAATTATGGGATTCCATTCCTTCCCATAAGTACATAATTCAAATTTACATTTCACCATTAAACATGGTGAATTATGAGGGACTTTAATAATGAGTAATTTATAATATGATATTACTGCTTAGATAACAGAAATCATTGCTTAAATTTGGTGGTAGTTTTCCAGCAAAAGAAAACAATTAGCAGGCTCTTCTTAAAAGAAGGTGAGTATAGAAGAAGTTAGCATTTGATCAACTCCGGGAGGCAGTGGAAGACAGGAGGGCCTGGCATGCTCTGGTCCATGGGGTCACAAAGAGTCGGACATGACTTAACGACTAAACAACAACAATAGAAGTGCACGATTGTAATCTCAGTTGAATAACTTTCATCATCAACTATGAGACACTATTACCCTAATATTGCTGTTTTAGATTGTCTGGGTACATCCCAAGCCTTCATCTTAAAAGGAAACACAGAAATGGCCTTGTCCAATCAAATACTGCAAATTCTAACAATATGGTGCCTTAATTTGATCACAGCCTCCTCATAAACTCCAACCACCTTCTTGCTGTGTTGATCCATCAAATATCCCTTACCATTCAGCAAAATGTACAGCTCTCCTGCTTCTTGAAAAGGCAGGAGGTGTTCATTCATGTACTATCAAAAGAGACACCATAAACCCTTTCTAATCCACTGAAAATGTACCACAAGCAAAGCCAGGAACTAAAACTTGGTTAACATTGAAATGTATTTGCTTTACATTCTTTAACATTTCTATTTATCATCATTCAGCGGTCTCATGTTCTGGAGAGTACATGGTTGCACGGATCAGCAGAGCCTATATTCAATCACTAGGTTATAAGGAGTCGGATCTGTACCTGAATTCTTCAGATCCAACATGTGCCTCTCAGATTTCGCAAGCCTACGTTATCTTCAATATACCATTCAGTGGCTGTGGAACAGTGAGACAGGTGAAAATTTGATACTTGCAGCAACTGTTATGCCCTTTATAATATATTCATCTTTTTAAATAGGAGAAGGGTTTTGTCCGACTGATGAGCCAACAAAGATGTAGGGCTATGGCAGTAATATGCCACTGCTGATGTCATGATTCCTATTGTGCAAATCCTGTTGTTGGAGTTGTGCAACAAGATTTCAGCCTGGGCTTCATTTAATCCAGAAAAGATAGTGAGCATCAGCCTGAGGAAATGAATGCTCTCTGCTCTCCAGCTCATCTGAAATGTGGTTATGAGAAATTAGCCTTAATCAGTTAATGTTAATAAATAATTCATTTTATCAGAATCAGCAAATTAATTTCAGATACTGGGCCAAGGCATAGCTTTGTTAGCTTTAAGTATGATGCAGAGCACAGTTTTTAATCATATCTAAGTAGGAGTGGGGAAATTTGATCCAGAAAGCATAAGGTGTTAAACATCCACTTGCTCAGGTTCACATAAAACTCTTTACCAAAAAGATATAAGTTTTTCAGGATTTAAACTAGAGCTACACATCCAGATTTGGTCTGGAGTCCAGTTCGACATATTGGATGCCAATTTGGTCTGTGGTCATACAGATCCTGCCTATTTGGTTTCTGCCTTGGATCCAAATTGATTTGTAAATTCAGATTGCTGCCCACTTGCCTTAGAAAACCAAAATGCCTATAAGCTTTAAGTTTTGCACATTAAATCTGGTCACACAATAGACCCCAAGGAGAGGAGTAAATGTATGAATTTTCAGACATCTTGCATCAAGGATGTGCTCACTGAGAAACTTTAAAGTGTGACTGGATTGAAATTCTGGCCTCAGAGGCCATCCACATAGGCATTTGTCCTATTGTTCAGACCAATTTTCCCCAACCTGTTCCTTTTGAACCCTATCAGGGATTCTGCTATTTTAGTGTGGGTTGTAGGACTCCAGTTAATGTGGTTGCTTGAAACTGACTAACCTAGAACTTTGCAGCTCCTTCTGGTGTCAGTTTCCAGTATCCTGAAAGATATCAGAAAATTAAATCTTCTCCGGATCATCTGTGGAAAATCAGAGGAAATAAACTTATTAATTATTAATTATTAATCATTTATTATTGTTGTTGTTGTTGTTGTTGTTGTTATTATTATTATTATTATTATTATTATTATTATTTGTAATGAAGCTTTTTTTTCTAAATTATTTGTCTATCTGTATATTATTGAAACTGCGGTTGTCGACAGTTTCTCAATCAGCAATATACAGAAAGGGATTTTTTAAAAATTTAAACAAAGTGATTTATCACATCTAGTGGATGTTAAATAAATAACAATATCACTTCCCTTGACCCTCTGCAGACCATCAGGGAAAGTGCTTAATTCATTGTGGACAGGGCTACAAAGAGTCATTTGCCATTCAGAGAGGAAAAGCACGTCAAATGGCACATTCTTCTGCTTCCCAGCCTCAACTGACCCTTTATAGCCTTGCACCAAAATAGCCAGTCTGGACAGGCCCTCCAATTGCATGTTAGAGCTATCACTGGACAAAGTTCAGCTCCCTTTAGTCTCTTCCAATGCCTTGTTCATGTACTCCCTCCCTGTAGTCTTGCTCCCCTCATCTATATCAGATATTTGAATCACTGAACCACCCAAAAGCCTTTGCTTTTCCTTTGGAACCAAATTTGCTCATTTTGCTTCTCTAAGGACCATATACAAATCAGTCTAAATCCAGCTAATTCAGTTCAGGACACTGCATTTGGCTGAAACAACAAAAAATCCAAATATAAATGCTTTAATATGAATGCAATAACCCCTTCCAACATTGCATTGTAAAATCGCCCATGTAAACCATTTTTCTGTATTTAAATGCCCTCTCTTTTGATGATGAAACTCATATTATTTTTTAATCAATCAGCTCAATGTTTGTTAGAGAGAGAAAATAACATCCTAGATTAGATAGTTTTCATGAAGGGTGCTAGAGAATTAAGATAAATCTCAATTTCCACATATTTCTCTCTCTATGTAATTGGTTCCTTCTCCTTTTATATTTTTGTAATGTTATGTCTTAGCTTTCATTTTTATTTCTTTTCTATCTTTTTAACAGAAGTACAGTAAAATAGACTTGGACTAGATGAGGTGGCTTTTTAGTAGCTTTTTAAAATCGGAAATATAGTAGTATATTTTAAAACTATCAAATACGGTGAATATTTCATGTGGCAAGAGCTGAGTTACTTATATTATTGACATAATTTGTGTTTCTTTTTTTTACCCTTTAGCAAATGAATAATAACACAATAATATACTCAAACATCATCAGGACACTCGTCTCAGGTTATATCATTACAAGGAAGAGAAACTTTCAGTTACATGTCATGTGTGAAATGAATGAGAACACAGTTGTGGAGACAGCATTTCTTGCCCAAGACGCGGTTGACATTGTTGAGAGACAATATGGCCATTACAACGTGACTCTTGCATTCTATCAATCACCGTCTTTCACCTCTCCAGTTTATGCGTCTCCGTATTTTGTTGCACTTAATCAGAATTTATATGCCAAAGCTACTCTCCACAGTTCGGACTCAAATCTGGTACTGTCCGTAGACACATGCGTATCATCTCCATACGCTGATAACTTCACAGATTTGACTTATGACTTAATCAGGGATGGGTAAGTATAGTTCAGATTAAGACCTTTTTAGACAAGATAGTTTACTTTCTGTTCGATATGCATGAGAGAACAATTACCAACTACAAGACAAAGGGTAGACCTGGTGATAGATTTCTTTCCATGTTGATTTCAGGCCATGTACAAATGAGGAATTGCTGTTCTCCCTGACTAACACATTAAAATGACAGATTGATTCCCTTCTCACATCTTATTTCATTACATTGAGCAAGAATTATAGGAAGACAAAGACCACTTGCAAGTTAAAATTTCCTATTGTTGAAGAGAAGCTTAGTTGTTTCACTTTATCATTATTCAAAGATTCTCATAAAAAAGCAGAAGGAAGAGGAGAGCTATAAACTGCTAGACAAAGTGGGTTGTATGTAAGAGCCATTACAGGTATCCTGTGACTGTGCCCACTTTGGATGGAAAAGTCCAAACTCTTTTTGGAGCCATCAGAGGGCACCCTCTCCAACTCTTTCTTTACTCTGGGAATTTAATTATAGAAGCCAAGTGCAGAGTTAATTAAAAGCCAAACAAATACTTCTGATAACCTAATGGTGCCAAGAGGAAAGGGGAAAAAATTAGGGTGGGGTAGAGGAGTTGGATAAATGTTGGAGCAGCAGTTTGGATTCTCAAAGTGACAGTCACATTCCTGCACACGAGCACTGTATGTGTGTGTGGGGGGGGTGTAGGAAAAATCTAATCCCCCTTCTTTTACTATTATATATAGTAAAATATTCCCCACATATCAGCACAGAAATTGCTCTTTTTCTGTTAAAAAGGAGGTCAGGGGAAAACAGATCTGTCTCCACTTCACCTGGGAAGGGAACAAATAAGAAGCAAAGGGAAGCAGAACTTCAAAACTAAAACTGCTGGAGTTGATAACAACAGGACAGTTACTTTTATTTATTTATTAGGTTTAGCATGACCCGTGTTCTGGGAAGATGCTTGTTTTCATATCTTGCAGTACACATTGTATTAACAAGGCTATAAGAAAGTGCCACCAGTGATTTCAATGCAGATATGTGTCTCTGCAAATCACATGTTATTGTAACCCCTAGCCAAGGCGGCATCAGGACAGTATTGCTGGTCAAACTATCGTTGACATGGGAACTTCTTGATCTTATTTCTTACGTTTGTTATGATTTGTGCCCTATAAAGGTAATTCCCTTCTTTTCTATTTTTGAGCTGACATCGTTTGAGTCCTCCTATCCTGCAGGACATGTTACCTTTCAATAAACCCTATATAACATGAAAATTAAATTTTCTGTGTCGGGTTGTGGTTAATCTCTTACTCTCCAAGTAATTTAAA